ATCCTCACCATTATCTGTGCATGGATAGCAGATTTTAAGACTAATATCGGAGTTGATAACCGTTCCGATCTTATTCTTTTCTTTGGCCTTTCAAGTTCTAACCAGCAATCTCGACAAGCAATAAAAAATACAGCAGCTCCCGATATAGCTAAAACTCCGCTTCAGCACATTTTTAGCCTAGACTTGACTGCATTATGGATGAGATTGACCGATCTTTCTCCAGATCTTTCTATTTCTCAAGTTAGGCTAAACGATCTACTTACCTCTCTTCTCGATGACAAGACTGATATTTTGGCCTACCAAGCCGGGCTTCAATCAACCATCATTAATTACCTGCGCAAAATCCACCCGAACACTTGGCCTAGTTGGATTCTTAAGGAAACTACCTCTCTTGATCAGCTGGATGCATACATTCGTGGCCAGGTCTATGATAAAAGTGGGGATAATAATACATTTGTTTTCTATCGTTATTTAGGGCTCTGGCTACCAATCGCTATTCTGCAACGTTGCATATCCCATACTAATCTGGTTGGCCGGTTGAGAAAGTTGGCTGCCTCTCTTGATGACCCTACCATCATTGGCTTTTCAGAATCAAATGAAGGCGAAAGCAATAAACTTCAGGTTGCGGAGTTCAAGACTCGCCTTCTTGAAACAATCGCTGGGTTGGCAAGTGTGCGTGTTGTGTCTCCTGTTCACACCATCCCCTTATTCAGCATCGTATTCGCTCCAGTAAACGCTAAAACCGAGCCACCAGCTGCCCTTCATGCTGCTGAAGCTTCTACCTCTTCCTTCAACAATGACGGAAGCCTCTTCGATTGGCTCTTATGTTCTGACCCAGAAGAACTTTGTCTTGTGAAGCCTGTCCAGGAAGGTCTGCCTGTAACCTCTGGACAGCGCCTTCGTAGCTGCCTCTCTGGCATGCTGATTCTCGAGACAGCATTTTTGCTTCATCAACCCTGGCAATGGCGCTTAACCTCTCAGTTAGCTGAGAAAGCTATCTCAACTCGTGGTGGAGCTTCATCGCAGCCCATTGGTTTGGTTCAACTTGGCTTTCGGCTAGACTACTTGAAGCCGCGACTTTCCCGTGATCAATGGAAATCAGCTTTTCTTCTCATCTTGGAATGGGCCAGCCTAGCATTTATTTGTATTGAGATAAACTTATTAAATCAGCAGAGTCTATCTAATGACTCCAATTGCATCTTTCAACATCATCGCCTCTTATTCGCTTTCCGAGCATTTCGCATGCTTGCGGCACTTTCCGCTGTTTTTGTCGAGAAGGCGTGTTTCTCTGGGGGAGCCTGGTTGGATAGCCAAGTTGAATATCTTTCGGGTTCATACAAACAGATGGCAAAGGGCTTGCAGGCTCTTGGTGAAGTCGATGAAGATGAAGAAAAGGAAGATGAGGCAGAAAAAGGTTTGGAGGAAGAGGAAGACAAAATGGACGAAACAAACGAGGATGGGGAACAAGATAGAGAAAACGCGATTTCTGCCCTCTTGGAGATTGAAAACGAAGATTGGGAAGAGGAGGAAGCTACGGAAGGTACAGGTGAAAACGCCGATTCCTCCGTCACTTCGTTAAACCCACCGAATCAGACACGCCGGCTATATCGGCCGCCTATCAGTATTCGCTCGGAATGGACCAGTCAATTGCAGCAAAAGCTCTTTTCAATGGTGGTACCGGCAGTATTATCTACTTGCCTGTCGCAAGAAGCATCCCCCGTTCCCAAAATTGCCCAGATTGATACCCCCAATGCACTTTCAGCTCTGTGCGCTTTAATGGCGACCTGCCCTGCGGAACAGCTTGTTTATGTGCTGACAGACCAGCCTCGTCTTGAGATGGAGTTCCTCGGTGAAGCACCTCAACTATTGTCCAGCTGGCCAGTAGCTCGAAACGCCTTTATCCTTTCGGACTTGGGATCGAAATCCGTCCGCCTCTCGCCTGGTCTTAGAGCTGGCCTTGAGCTAGCTAGCCGCCTCCTGGTCACATCTCCCTACCAAGCCGGCCAACTGCTCGGTCACCGCTTACTATGTCGTTTACTATCATTACGCGGCTCCGCGGCTCGGGTTTCGCGTGTTCGTCTCAGCGACGCTATCCTGGCGTCCTACTTGCCGCCAACTTTGCTTGCTGGCCTTGCTGCCAAACTTCCGTCCCGCCTTGAGGCCGAACTCTCCTCCGGTGTTTGCATTTCGCGATGGGCTATACGTCCCCTTAATGCTGACGAATCAAGCTGCTTGTTAGGCTCTGATCTACATCCGCTTGATCCCTCTGCGCATCAACACCTTCTTGGCTTCCTGCTTGCTTGGGACGCTTTTGTCAGTCTAGTTGCTTGCTCCAGCCGCTCAACACGGGTCAGACTGCAACAGCTCATTCTCTCTGGCGAGCTGGACTCGGATTCACACGAATTTAACAGTATTTCAGTTGACAATTCAACCTCTAGTCGCATCAGTGTTATATGTTTATTCGACCGCTTTCTCCTCGTCCTTGGCCGACTTATGCCAGATCGACATTCTCTTCTATCAAGTCTTGTGGATGCTCATTGTCGTCTAGAGCCTGATGAGCGGCTCTTACTTTCCCACTTGACTACAGGCCATCTAGCCTATTTCAGCAACGATAGGCCGAGGACTACCGTCAACAATTCCCATCGAGTGGGTGGGTCACGATCAACCCGATCCTATCTAACTGGCGGGGACCGACGCTGGTGTGACCCAACCTGCCCAGCTGATCCTCTTGTCCAACTACCAAGTCACCGAATGTTCTTTGATCTCTCGCATCTGGCAATTCGCTTATTTCGCAGATTGCTAGCTCAACTACCGACCATAATGCGTGCTTGGTTTATCCGGCTGAATAGCTTTAATCGCCAAACCTATTTGCCAGCTTCGGGATCACCATCAACGGGTTTGGCATCAGTAACTATCTCACCGCTGGTTCAGCGGCCTTGGCAGTCAAAACAACTTATTAACAGGATTGACCGCATTGTCACTAATGCTTTTAGTCCTAGTCTCATTTATGATGAACTGGTGCTAGTCGAGCAGCGAGCTCTCTTTCGACATGGACAGTCGACTCTTGGACAGTACTTCAAAGATAAGCTGGAGTCAATCTTCCCAAAGGTTGGACTTAACGAAATTCCAGAGCCTGGATCCCTTGTTGTCCATAGCCGGCTGAACTCTAGAGAAGTGAGTTAATTATGTTCAGGGCAATGAGTATGTTTCAGGATAATGATTCTTGAATACGCACCTAATCATCACTTAGTTTGAGTTAAGGATTCATAGTACAGTTTTTTCCACAATTTCACTTGGTCCTGCCTTCGTAAGATGATTTCACATCTAGGTTGGATCGCAATTTCGACTGTATGTCTTATGAGAGCTCCTAACGAGATTATAAACCCGGTTGCCCGCATCGCGGCAGCACACGTTATCACTGCTCCCATTCACGAGTTGCAGGTCGCAAGGCAGGTGCGACTTTAACTGTTAGCGATGCATTTTCCAAATCACATTCAATGGGACAATTTCGATGAGACAAACCTAAATTTACCATTAAAATGGGAGGTGTTATTTGTATTAGGAATGAAAATGTTCTGAATTATAACTCTGATGACTAGTAACTTGTACTGCCATCATACATAAAATCCTGTTTAGAGTTCCGTTGTGGTTATTGATGTGAATTAGATGTCAAAATTGGATATGAAAAGTTTTTGGAGTTAAAATTAAGTGAAAATCAACGATATTGCTAGGCCTACTCATGTCATGAGCGGCATCCCTCTTAATTCACCTTTATTGTTTAGATTTGGAATGAGATGCAAAAAGAAATTCATCATCTCTGTTTGGATAATTCTATGCTTAATTAGTTACTACACTACAGGACATGTCGACATTTTTCTCACCTGACTGTCGGCTTATCAATAACGCCTTTTGCGGCCATAAAAGCCGTCTAATTTCTCCTGATGTCTTCGGTTAAGTATTTGCTTATAGATTTATACGTCCAGAATATGAAGCTTTTCTATGCATTTAGTTAAATAACCATTACCGCCACCTAATTCGCGCATACTTCCTTTCATGTACCCCTTTGCACAGATATCCGTCATCTATCAAGTTTCATCTTATCACTCACTAGAAATGATAGTTAAGTTTCCAGCCAACTTTCCATTTTCTCCGGTGACTGTCGAAAGCGGTAGACGCATCGGCGTCAGCTCTCAGAAATGGCGATCTTGGCTTGCCCATATGCATCTATTCATCAATACTCAGGTATGACATAATCGTTATAATCATATTAACTCAATCCTGCTTGTATCTTCATCTTCATAGATTAATTATGCTTTGTGAGATATTTGAATTATTGAAATGTGGGTTGGTTTATCCTTGATTCTGATCTTCAATGTAGTTTGTAATTATGATATTTCGATTACTCACTTCATAATAATCTCCCATTTGTGTTACTAGGACTTGTAAGATTGTTTTTTTAGATGGACAATAGCTATTTACGATTTTATCGATCATTTTTATAGCTATAGGCCACTCCCTCCATTGATGCTGATTAAGCAATGATGAATCTTTAGAGAAGGACATTTTCCATTTTCTTTTGCATAACGCGTTATGACTCATTTTGTATCCTTATTTCATTTTTGCTAAATTAACCCATTTTTTCATCTTCCTGAGACTAGTTAGATTCTGAATAAGAACTTTAGTTAGTTTAGGTTTAGTTTAGGATTTGTAGTGAACTTTTACACAATGATAAGAGTAGGCCTCACGATGTCATTTAATTTCACCCAGCCTTACCTGTCGAGATATATTTTTATCCATGGTGGATTACTGTTTCGATCTTTCCTGGGTCTCAGCCTCAATCGGGAATCGAACTTGAGTAGTGCTGCGTTTATTCTTGACATGTTGACGCT